CCCGTGAACCATGACTCAAGTAATTCTCGGCTCACCCGATTGTCACCTCTGGTGGGAATTTTGGCCCCATCAACTTTGAATATGTGGCCGGGTCTTTTCGAATGAACCACAACTTGAGAACTGGCATCATTTAGCCGCACTGCTGCCGCGTTTTCGGCAATTCGCATCTTGAGAATTCTGCCGGTTTCTCCGACACAGTTGCTTTGTCCGCAACTGCACCAGATCCCGTAGACGACTTTAGATGTTTCTTGCGGTGGCAGTGGATATTTCGGTTTCGGAGGCAACCATGAGGCGTCAGATAATGAAGTAAATCGCCACTTGGGGAACGGACAGGCCACCGCGTCATCCTACGCCAACACCGGACGGCCAGATGGTCGAGCAATCATCACGCCCGAGTCCATCCCGCGTGATGAAAGTTCATCAGGTCAAAGCCCGCATGCCATTCAACAAACCATCAACACACAAGGCGGCGGTTACCGTTAATTGTCGTTGTGTTTGCAGTAATGACTGTATCCTATAAATACTGCAAACTCTTGTGCATACGCTATCCGTATCTGCTACTGCTCTCTGCTTATATATCTGATGATTAATCCACGACGGATCTCGAAACGTCAGGCGAATAAATGTATTGTGCCGGCGATCGAGTCGTTTTCTTCTCAATTACTTCCTGAGACTCGCATGTTCGCTTTTATTGAAGCAGGCATCTTCGATATCTGCTGCCAGGGCAAGAAGAGCGACTTGCAAAATCCAGGTGTCGTGGTCAACTGGCAGAAAATCACAACATATACAGACGTATTCACGCTGGCAAGGGATAATTGGAGCACAAGTAGACCGTATTAGCCGCATTTGGAACCAGATTAATATCTACTGAGGAAGTCAGCGTCCGGTCTTGGAGGATGCCACCAGCGCCACCCTACCAGTCATCACGCCTATCAGCCGTGACCTGTACGGTCACTGACAGTGCGACAAGCGAACCAGAGGCTAGAGTCTCAATATTCACTCGTTAGTCTTTTCTTACCTGCCCATAATACCTCCTGGACATTCAGCCAAACCATGCGTCTCTGTGAATTTCAGCACAGACCTCCTAGACCTACAATATGGCGAGTGCTGCATGAAACATTCCGCAACTTGAAAAAGACCGGTAATCACTCGCAAACCAACATTGGGTAGGGTTACAATACTGTTTACCGTGCAGTCCAATTTCAATTCTTTTCAGTCATGGTAGGATGCCGACTCTGTGATGAGTTTCTTTTTGACCGCTGCGAAAAAGTTGATTCTGTAAAAAAATGGCTACTTGGATAGTATGAATTTTTATGATTGATTTTGACTGCCTTTATAAATTTAAAATATATTTTATGGAAAGCATGAACGAAAAAATCCCCTCTTTCACTTATTTGATAGAAAATTACGCCTTCTTTAAATTTTACTCTTAAGGGAAGGCCCTTCGGTTTTCAAAACGTTTCTTAACTGCCGAATGATTTTGAATGTTACTGACTACTAGAACGGAAATCAAGTTTTACTTACTGAATGCTGTGTTCATCCTGTTTAAGGTGAAGTACGTTCTTGCCTATGGCTCGAGGAAGTGGTTACATAGCTCTCATGGAATTTCGCAATAGACATGAATCATGCTGTATATATCAGTGACAGCATTAAAAAAATTGACGGATGCGATGTATAATGAATGAACAGCGCACAGTCGTAAAAAACTCAAAATTAGAATTTTTTAAACCGAAGGAAACCCTTCCTTTAAGAATAAAATTCAAAGAAGGTGTAATTTGCCATCAAATAAGTAAAAGAGAGGATTTTTTCATGCATGCTTTTATTAAAATATACTTGAATTTATAAAGGCAGTCAAAATCAATGATAAAAATTCATACTATCCAAGTAGCCATTTTTATACAGAATCAACGTTTTCGCAGCGGTCAAAAAGAAACTCATCACAGGGTCGGCATCCTACCATGACTGTAAAAATAAGTGAAATTGGACTG